GCAAAACGGAACGCGATTTTTGCCCTTTCTCGTCGTGCAGCAGGTTATTATGCAGTCAGCGAGCATCATTTCCGTCGACCCGGCGTGACCTCTTTGTCTTTGAAACGATTAAAGAACATGTCATGTGTGTTTGCGCTTCTTCTCATATATACGTACGGTACATATAAACTGCAAATGCTTGCAAAGCACTCACTTGCACAATTGCTTCTCGGGCGGGCGTCTTATTTTTAGATTTTCGCAATCATCGCGATCTCTGCACCAAAGCAAATTCAACCAGACGTGTTCAAATTAACTAAGAAGAAACGAACTTGCGAGAACTAAAAATTTGCAACTTGAAAACACAATGTTTTGACTGGACGAATCTTATCATAAAAATAAAAACGGATTAAAAACATTTTGATTCAAATAAATTTGGCAGATATAAATTTAAACAATTTCTTTCATATGATTTATTAACAGATATTTGAGAAAAGTACAAAAAGAGCGCCCAACGTGGGGCTCGAACCCACGACCCTGAGATTAAGAGTCTCATGCTCTACCGACTGAGCTAGCCGGGCTTACAAGCTAAGGGCAATTTACAATGTATTTAACTGGCTTCGATTCCCAGTTGGCCTCGTTAAAGAGTTCACCGGCGGCTATAAAAAGACTCTCGGAGAGAATGCGAAGGAATTGGAACAAAAACGACGCATCTTTCACTGCAGTGCACTGTCGTGTGTTCGAGAAAAAGTTAAATCGTGAAAAGAGATTTGGCGGGAAAAAGGGCGTCGACAACGTTGCCACCCCCCTGTGCAGGTATGAAAAAAAAACTGCGCTCACTCCTCAGTGCATGAAGAGTGCAGCTGCACAATTATTATCATAATTCAAGCAAAGAGATTTAAACGCTGGTTGAGACAAAAAAATCTGATCTAAAATTATGATGTCACTGGTTAGAGATTGATTGAGGTCATGGTGACGAACGAGTTTAATTCTGATTAATTTAAAGTCGTTGAGTAAAGGTTACAAAATTCAAGAGGTCGACGAAAGTGAAATTAAAAAACAAACCAAAGAAGTGTAGTATTTATTTTTTTCCCGTGCGTCATGAATATTTTTTCGAGGCGCACGCGTTTGTCGGCGGGTATAAATTACATCAGCGAAGGCACGTCGAAAAGACACAAAGGAAAATAAATGGAATGAGACTGCGAGAGAGTATTTTATATAAGAATGAGAAAGAGAGCCTCTCCTCAGGGCAAATCCGGGTTGCTGCGCCGCCAAGCTGCAAGAGTTCAAAAGCGCCAGATTGCAAGCGATTATAATCCAAGGGTATTCATTCCCGTGTGTGTGTGTATTTAATGGAAAGAAAAGTTGTGCAAAGCGGATCGTCAGAATGCATAAACTATAAAAAAAATAAACAATAATTTTTCAACCTAGATGGAAGAGCTATCCGTGGAAAATTAATTCTTCCAAGACTTGTTTTTCTCACTTCGGCCTTAAAATGTTTTTCGCGCGCACCTGCATTTTTTAATTTTATTTGCACGATCGGCCTTCTTTTGAGGAACTGATGTGGTGTGCGCTTTACTGTTTTGCCATGCTATCGCGACACTTGACATGTAATCAGCTGGCAGATGCTGTGGCCTCTGAAAGTGTGTTCCTTGACATCGTGATTGCCACTTCAAAGTTAGCACCATAATTTGAAGAAGAAAGAAACAACTATTCTTAAAACTTTTAGCTATAATAATTTTAAAATAATAATATAATAAGCATTGAATATAAGCGCTTTCCAGCTTTACTGGATATATTTTTTTTCTAATTCAATAAATTCTTAATTTTTGAGAAGTTTTTACTGAAAATTGTGGGAGAAAAACTTGGCTTTAAAGAATGGAATACATACCAAAAATTTAGACTGTTAATTAAGAAATTAATTTAAAATTACACAAACACAAGATATTTCATTTAAACTTGAAAAAGTATGGCTTAGTTTTTTTAAAAGGGTTAAATTTTGTGTCATCTCAAAGCTTTGATATGTATTCCATTCTTTGAAGCCAAGTTTTTCTCGCAACTTTCAGTAAAACCACGTGAAAATCTGTTAAAAATTAAAACCTGAAACTTCACAACACAAACAAAGACACTAATTAGAACAGAAAAAAACACGCAAATTAACAACTTTTTGAAGAAATTCGATTAATTCTTAAAATAAAATATGGTTGCCGAAAATTATTTCAAATAGTAATTTTTTTCCTTTTAATTTCACTTTTTTTCAATACAAGACACAAATAAATGAACCGCGCGTGCCAGCAGGGGAGAGAATTTTTCTTTGCTCACGACTGCCGAGTTCAAGATCGTGAGTCACGAAAAAGGGTGATTGCTCGCCCATACTTATGCGTTTAGCATCCTATTCACTAATGAGGAGCTTGCATGTTTCTTAAATTCATCAATGAGCCAAAGACATAATTAACATTCATGAACTAACGATCTATGAAATAAGTAATTTTCTTCAAGAAAAAATATTTTTTAAGCCTCGGCTTGTTCCAATTCACCCGTTTTCATTAGCAAAATTTTAAAAAATTAGAACAAAAATATAAAATTAAACTCTAAATAAATATATAATTTAGAGTTTATTTCCACTTATTAGCGTTTTGGTATTTTCTTTCTTTTTCGCGATGAATGCAAAAAATAATACAAAATTTCAGGATTTTTAGTAAAACACGTAATTGTGCAATAATCCCATTTTTTTAAGAAAAAAGCTTTTAGCAGTTACAAATTAAATAAAACTTGAGTCAATTTGTGAATCCAAGCATCACTTTCAGATAACGACTTTCAAATCTGTGCTTTCTGCTTATCAACGCGCAGCCTTGCTAAACCAGGATTTGGAGGCGCTTAACCAAAACAAATAACAAATAATACTGCGAGTCATATAGTAATGGACACACATCAACTCTCTCATGACTGATATTTTCCGCGATATTATATTCGGCAGGGGCAAGGCTGACTTGGGCCCGGGGCGGCGACCTTGCCTCGCGTCATCAGGAGAAGCAAAGGTCAGGGGTGATGGCGTCACGCGCGCGAAAGAAAACTGCACCGCGCGATCTCGTCCTCCTTATTCCGCCGAATCGAGAGAGGTGCATTGAGTGACCCAGTTTTTCGAGTCGCGCGGATGTCCGTTCGGCACCGACCCGCCAACTTCTTCCAGAGGTGATAATAATAAAAAGCTCTCTCGTATTTATCGGCGCCTCGGTCGGTCATTCGCCCCCGCGCGCGCGACCCAAACCAATTAAATTGTTATTTTCGCTCTGCTCGTCTTTCTCGCTCAATAGAGAGGCACTCGAGAGAGTCTCGAGCCGCGAACCGAAAAGGGCTGACGAAGGGCTTGACGCAAATAAAAAAAATCGATCTCGCCCTCCAGAGAAAAAGAGATGCATCACGTGGCATTGTTTTTGTATCCGATTGATTTTATCGTAGCAACCTTTATCGATGGACTAAAAATAGTTTTTGTTATGAATCTTTACAAGTTTCTATTAATTTTGTCTAAATAAATTTTCCAATTATATACAGAAATTGAAATTTGACTCTTGCAATTGTTAGGAAGTTGATCTAATTTTTTTTTTAAATTTCAAAATTACTTTCATAAATTTCACTCATAAAGAAAGAGTGAAAGAAGAACCATTTCCTAGAAGTAGGTTCAATTTTTTTGCCCTCAATAATAGTTTAAAATTAATTATTAAAGGAATTATAAAAAATTTATTAACACTTTTATTTTTTCCGTAGAAATAAAAACAGAAATACTATCTGTATTTAATTTTGGTTTCCTACTTTTATAATTGAACTCTTTGAGCAACACTAGAAAAGTAATTTTTATAGAATACAAAGTAGGAATCAGCAACAATGAGAGAACCGTGTCAAGCAATCGCGAGTCTATATCTCATCCGCTATGCGAAAATTGTGTCAACCGTTCATTTGCTTGAACGCAGTATTTCTTAAGGTCACTGAAAGTGAATTTAAAAAGCACCTGCAGCCATCTCGTCGCTCTCAAGATAAAAAAAAATAACAAACGGTGAAGGAAGTCACGATTGCGGAGAGAGAGAATTATCGGCGCAAATCCCTGCTGTTTTCTTGCGGGATTGGGCGTTGCTGTGATATTTTTCTCTGCTTCGGTCTGTCAGCGGTTTTCATTTTTTCATTATGCGATCTTGCTCGCATTTTTATTTATTATTTAAGCGACAGAATGCGTCACGCTTTGTTTGTCTGCGCAAGTTTGAAAATAAAAAGATAATAATATAAAATGGAAAAATATGCCACGAATTTGATCAATGCTGTTATTGGGCGAGACCTTTTTGCTTGTCGTTGTGATTTAATCCACCGAGATTGATTAATTCCTGGTTGAAATAAATTGGATTTGCACTGATGCAAAATATACTTGGATTTGCGTTGACTGAGAGATCCTGACAAGTATAATAAGGAGCACAGACTTTAAAAGGCGTTTCAATTTTAAATTCTATTTCAATAAAGAATGGACAAAATGGAATTATCTCTAAATAAATTTCATTCAAGTATTATCGTATAGATTTAAAAATGTTTAAAAATATAGAATATTCAATACAAATTAGATTAAAACTGAACGAAATTCCTTTTTAATTTATTTACCATTGACTTTTCATTATTTTTTTTTTTTTAAACGTACAAATAATTATGTCAAAATCGCTTACTGAAATTTTGATAATAATGAGTAATTTCTCTGACGTCAGCAGCCGCAATGATAATTATGAATTTCAGGGCCTCTCTTTTCGCAATAATATTGCACATATTTTATTTTTAATCTTCCTTGATCCTGCTTCTCGCAATCTAGAGCTGGTTATTTAATTTTTGTTTCGATCGAACTCTGCGTGCAATTGCAATAAATCGAGGAGAACAGGTGCATGGCCGACAAAAAAAGCGAGAGGGGTTCGTTTGCCCACTCAGCAAAAGGCTCACGGATGTAAAAGGCCGAAACAATTCCCCCGTGCTTATATATTGTTTGTCAGGGCCGATAAATTGCAACTCGCGCCGCGCCGTGTTTATCATTAAAAAAGATAAAAAGGGCCGTAATTCGTTGGCTGCAGTGCCGCCGCTGGAATGCTGCCAGGTAACAAGCACCAAACGTGAATTACGCACCAAGGGACACTTTGAAAGAAGATAGAAGACGAGGCGGATTTGCTCTCTTGTGTTGTTTAGCGTTCGTGTGAGAACCTTTTTTTCGCTGCTTTTCTCGTCTTTAGCAACATCCGTGTCTTTGCGGTAATGATTTATATTTGCAGCGTCTTTTGTCACAGCGGAATTTTTTGCAATGAATAAAAACGAGCTGCTTTTCTCAAATGTAGCCAAAAGTAAGAGAAATCATTTATCAAGATTAAATAAAAAGCAATAAAAAGTAATTTTATTATTCCACCGCATATTTTTAATGAATGACATTAAAGTAAATTACTTCTTATAAATAATGTTTTTCAAAAGAAATTTTAACTTGCAGGAGTCAGAAACCGAGCAAGAAAACCAATGCTCGAAAAACGAATTAAAATGTCCAAATTTCAACTTTTAATTAAAATTTTTTTTTCAAAATAGATTCAGGTTCCTTGTGTTGCCGTTCGTCTTAATTTTTTATTTTTAAATTGAAAATTTTAATTTTTGGATACAGAAATCCGAATGTTTTGAAAAATAATTAAAATTTTCAATTAAATGTTGAAATATAGACATTTTTATTCGTTTTTCAGAGCATTGGTGTCTGAATCCAAGTTAAAAATTCTTCAAAAAAATTTAAAACAAGACACTAAAAATTGCAAAAAAAAAAAAACAGACTCACTAAATAATTAAAAATATAATGAAATAACATTCTTGTTAAGCAAAGAAAACAATATTATTTCAATCAAAATTGAGAAAATACTTTTTTTACTAATAAAACTAATAAATTTTTAACTTTTACCTTTTTTTTTACTAATTTCAGAACTTAAATTTGAATAAAATTGGTCATTTTCCGTTAAAACCTGGTAAGCATTTTCATGGTTGCTCTCCAGGTGATTAGATAGCACCGTTGAGGGTGAAAACGAGAGCCGCTAATAAAGGTGCTCACACAGCAAATAGGATGTGGTTTGGTTAGGAAGTGATCAAGTGTATTGGGACCACACCGCGCTCACACTCATTTATCTGCCATTTGCAGCCGGGCCGTAATCAGAGAAGCTGTGGGTGCACTTTCGGCCACCTCGATGACAAACACAGCTAAAGGGCTTCCCCTCTGCAGCCGCGCCGAGATCGAAATGAGGGGGATGCGCGAGCAATCAACAGGAGCCCTGGGGCCACTCGTTGCGGCTGCCGTTTTACCCAGAAAAATGAGATTTGCCACCAAGAGGAAATTGTAAATCAGAGTTAAATTGGATTTCATCCGAGATTCACTTTTGGCACCAGGAAAACATCTCCATCTAGGCCGCAAGAGATGAAAATGGTAAAAGCTTACTTACCTTTTTAAACAGAAATATTTTAAACAATATTATGATAGGATTGTTTAAAGGAAAATAATTAAATAAATATAATATTTATATTTAAAAAAAAAATTATAATGAAAAAATTTCATAACAAAAATTAAGCTGAAAATATGTTGGAAAATTAATTTTCTTTTTTTTTCAATCAAGTAAAAACTTTAATTTTAAATTCAAATTCAGTTTTAAATTTTAAAACAGCGAAAATAAATATTATTTTATTGCTTTGCATTGATATTTAATATTTCATGTTTGTCCTTTTGCAGTTGACATCAAAGAATCTGTTACGTTTTATTTATAAAAATGCGCACGTCGACAAATAAGGCAGCGTTTATGAGAAATCGTTCTGCGGAGAGATCGTTTTCATTCTTCGCTTGCTCATTTTCCACATTCGCTCCATATTGAGAAAAATATATTCAAAACGCGGCTGTCCAGCACGCATAGCGCGGTGTCCAATTACTTAGGAGCTGTCGTTGGAGAAAATGAAAACAACAAACAGCGTCAAAGTGCGTCACTCGCGCGGTGCCGAAGAAAGAGACAAGACATCCTGTCTACCAAAACATACCAAATCACCACTAATGGAGCCGGTGAGATTTATTAACGCCACGTCGACGGCCCGAGTCACTATTTTTAAGCAATTACACGCCACGACTTTTTGTCTCCGACGACGTGTAACAGCGAAAAGCTAAATAGAGGACCTTGGAGAGTGTCTTGCTTGCACCTGTTACTTTTTATAATATATTCTTATAAATCAGTGTGGATTTGTGTGTGAGATTAAAATAATGTCGAAATTATTTACATCTATTCTGTAAAATAATTTTTAATTTTAATAAAATATTTTAGTGAAGAAATTAACACTCAAGGAGACAATCAAGGAAGTCAATATTAATCGATAAAAATATAATAAATCACATAAAAATAAACAAATAAATACATAAAAATAATTAAAAATAAAATATAATTTGTTTGTAGAAATTGACAGTCTACAAGATGATGATGGAAGTCAATATTAATAAAGATTATGATAAATTTCTGAAGTAAAAAAAACGTCAGTAGAAATGAATGTAATTAAAAAAGTATCTGATTTCTTTGAGGAAATTGACACTTGTAGAGATGATTATTTTTGAATAAAAACAATTATTGCAACAAAGAAAAAGCCAGAATTCTTCACTTACGTAAAATATAATAATATTATTTGCACATTTTGTATTATTCAATTCAATTCAATTTATTTTTCTCCAAACAAGTCAATACAATCAATTGTGAAAAAATTGGTTGGGAGAAAAATAGGCACACAGTGCTAGTGAACAACTCACTGAAACTCATAACCGCGTATTTACCAAGAGGCGATAAATACCCGATTACTCGCCGCACTGCAGCCTAAACTTCGGGGGGGAAAATTTCAAATTTGTTTAACAATTTTCAGAAAATATTTCTGCGATATTATTTAAATTTTGATTTTTATTGTTGGTGCACCATTAAACTCGATTAACTTTGCAAATTAATTTTATAAAACTAAGTTTAAGTTTGAACTTGGCAATTTTGAAGAAGAGTGCAATGACTTATAAAAGAAAAATAATGCTTACTGGGCCACACACGGACTTTTCTAATTTCAATCACACGGAGTGCTCTTTCATCAAAAGCAAAGGTCCGGTTGTTGTCATTCGTATGTCAGCAAAGAAAAACATCGCGCCGAAGCACAAAAGTTTCCGGCTTGCGCTCTCAAAGGCAGCGAAAGAGCTCTTTTGCATTTTGTTGCGCGACCGACCGACGGCAGCTCTTTGTAGAAACGAAAACATCTTTTTTCCAAACAACCTTCTGAGAAATCCTCGCCAATAAATCAAAAGCAGACTTCACACCCTTGTGTGTGTTTTACAACCCCAATCGACAGGTGCGTGCGAGAGAGCAATAAAAGTGAAATCCCGAGCGAAGAATGGGCACCTGCGAAAGGACCGGAAGTCCTTACCATTGAAAAAGATCGGCCATCGATCACGACTTTTGAAAAAAATAAAGATCATGCAAACGAGACTCGAGGCGTTTCACCGCCGTGAAAAATCGCACCTGTCGCGACGGCCGAAGGAGTGAAAATAACATTTTACAAGGGATTTCTCTCTCAGACGCGGGATGCTGCGCCTGTAGCTGGAAATTTGAATAAAAATGCACGCGCTCGCCTCTTGATGGCCTGCCTCCATAAATAACCACCAACAAGGCGTGTAGTCGAATTTCCGGAAGTAAATTTGGTGCAACGACGGAAACGCTTAATCAAGTGTGCTGAGGAGCTGAAGTTGCACCAGAAAAAAAAATCCGAGTGTTCCAGAATGTATAAAATTGGGGAAAATTTGAAAAGGAAAAAATAGTTTAAAAAATTAATTTTTTAATTATGAAACTTTGCAAATGTTTTAAATTAATTTAGATCAAACACTATATTTTTCAAGGTTTACATTCTTTTATTATTTTTAAAACGCCTCTCCTCATGAAATATTTTCTTTTAATTTTGCGGTAGAATTTCACGTTCGAGGGTTCATTCATGGTGATTTGAATTTTAAATCGGCTTTTTCTTGCTGGATTTTGTGAGTGGTTTATTGTTTAAGAAAAACAATATCCCGCTCTACATGTTTTGGCTGCGGGCGCAGCCATAATTCATAAGCTGTGATATCATTTTGACAAGAATTAGTACAAAAATCAATTTATAAAAACAATTTATTTCAAATTAACAACTTTACTGTTTTTTCTTCAACAATAAACAACTCGCAAAGCCCATCGAGCGAAAGCCGACGATTTTAAATTCAAATTAACGTTAAATTTTAAATTTAATATTTTCTTAATCAGGTTCATTTGGTTGAATAAATTATGTAACATTTTTTTAAATAAATTAAAAATTTCGAGTGTAAAGAGTAACACTGCATTTCTCCAGTTTTTATAGTAATATTTCATTTTATTTTTAAATAAAAAATCAACCATTCCATTAAGTAAAAAGTTAATAAGGATATTCAGTCATATTTTAATAAGTTCAATTCCATTACTGGGAATTGGTAAATTAGTTTTTAATAATGCAGAAATTTACAACTTTCATTCAATGTATTGAAAAATAAAGTAAAATCATTGCTTGGCTAAGTTTTAACTATTGGCCCATGGACCATAAAAAAATATGAAATTATAATTTCAAAATTTGTATTTTTGACACCGTGATATACCACAACGTCTTTTGCTGTCAAGCTGCTCTGACCGAGCGTAAAAGGAATTGACCTCTTTTCATGAATTATGCAGACCGAGGCAGCGCCGGATATGCAAAACAAAAAATTCTGCATCGCCGCCGAGTCGACGTTGTTGTTGTTGAAGAAATAATTCATAAAGGCCTGGCCGTGTTTACAAACGTCGCGATCGAGCAGAAGAAAACAGGAAATAGATTCTCAAAGTGTCGCGGCGGGCGGATTAAAACACAGTCATTCGGCCGCGATTAAATGCGGGACGAGCCGTTTCCTCCTGAGAGGTCGTCGAGATCAAATCCGAGCCTAAAAATAAGAGGATTGGGCACAAATTCAATATTAATCCATCTGCTCACCTCGGAAGCATTAAAATAAACCTGTCACGTCTTTTCGCTTTCAAGTCGAGCGCGACTTAAAAAAAAAAGAAGTTTAAATCGTCAACTTCCCTTTTGATAGAACTTTTGCCTGGGGTGCATTCGAAAAATAAAAAACCGGGAAAAATGAGCGCAGGGCGATTCGTCATCTCGATCGAAAATAGCGCAGCCCCGTTGGAGATGCGCTCGTCCAGAGTAGGAAATACAAGACGGCACGCCACATAAATTTCAGGACGGATCACCAATTTAAAGCCCGCGTGTTCGGGGCAGGAAGCGGTGTGGTCCCTTTTTGTGAATCGGTCCTCTCGGCTTATCTTTTCAGCACCATTAGCGAGGTGTGAAAGAAGGGGTGTAATATCGTTCGATGCGTGTAAATAATTTATGTTTCAACACTGCAGCGCGACCACAGAACGAATCGAAGAAAGTGGGCCGGTTTATTTTATTAGAGAGAGAAGCAGGAAACTTTTATTATTCCTCTTCTCGAGATTTGTGTGCCTCTTCCAGCGCCTTTAAAAACACATTAAGATGGAATTTTTGGGGCTCAGTCGCGATCAGCAAGTCACAAGCCTCTGTGTTTTCATAGGCAAAGAAAACATTTTCTCGTCGAATAACTTTCATTGATGGACTCTATAATTTGATTTTGAACCATTCTCAACACCTCTGTACGAAAAGAGACAAAAAAAATGTGTAAAAATAATGTAAAAATTATCGAGTCATATAAGTAGGTAATAATTAAGGAATTAATTGAAATTAATTTAATGTTGAAATGTTCTCAATTTTTTAGAAATTTTTTTTGATCTAAGAATGAAGAGATCGGGCTTTTCCTCGTTGCAAAAATTGTTTTTATTGAAAAGAAAACGGCTCTACCAGTTTCGGTCATAATCTGCGACCCTATTTCATGAGCAAGAAAAATATAAAAAAAACTTCAACATTGAAAAACAATCAAATTTTAAAATAAAAATTCAAAGTCTGAAAACTACGTTTAGTTTTTTTGAATAATAACAATTTTTCAACAAGGAAAAACCCGATCTCTTCATTCCCATGATCATCTTCTCGAGTCAATTTATTCAAACAAATTTTTTTTGAACTAATTTAAACACTTTACAAACAGTTGTAATGCTTATCATGTACATTAATTATGTCATTTAAGACATTACGTGTTTAAATATATATATTTTTTAATATAAAATTCGATAAAATTAAAGTATAAGTTGATTATTGCGATACGTTTTTAAAAACCTTTATGTAAATTTTTTTCTGTAATTATTTTCTATTAACTTTGATTTGGCACAAAATACTAATATTTCACTGTAATTTTTGGTCTAGAAGCGAAAAATTTCAAAACATTCATCGTGCTTGCATATGAAAGGGCTAAAATGATAATTAATAATAATCCGAAAGCTTTTTGCTAATTTTTGTGTATTTTTCTTGCCCATGAAATAGGGTCGTAGACCGTGACCGAAACTGGTAGAGCCGTTTGTTTTTGAATAAAAAAACAATTCCTGCAACGAGGAAAAGCCCGATTCATTCATTTATATGATCATCTCCTCAAGTGTCAACTTCTTCAATCCTTTATTATTCCAATTTCCGATTGATCCAAACTATTATTGATTGTTTATTTGTCCAAATTTTTACATCATATTGTTTGCATTCAATTGTTGAAAACAATTTATTTGGAAAAAAGGAACTGTTGGTCAAAACGGCACCATCACTAGCAAGAATTTTGCAATAAACTTCCGAGATCAAAAAGTCCCCATCCGCCGCAGTGAGCCTCGATAATAAATAAATAAACATTTTGTAAATAAATGGAAGTTTTGGAATTTCTGCCAAATAAATTGTTTGACTCGCCCAAGTAATGCGCTTATTAGGGAACGAAATCGGTTTATTGCGGGGGAGAGAGAGAGAATTTGTATGTGTGCCGCCGCCAATTTGACTCGGCCTAGTCGGCGCAGATAATCTTCGCCTCTTTGGCGGTTGCGGCACTCTCGGAAGCGACCGACGGCAGGAAATCGATTGCGGGCGTGAGGAAGCGCGCGTGGGCCGCCCGCAATTTTTTTTCCCAACGACTCTCGTGCGTGTACTCGATATTTATACATTTTGCCAAGCTCGAAAGGTGCGACACACGAGTGCTCTGCGGCACAGCATCCGAGCGACGTGCGCTTTTATTTGGCCGCGGATCGATTTGTCGGCGGCGCGGGAGAGCAAAAGGACGACAGACTCTGAAACAACAATTGCTCTGGCAACAGAGACGGAAAATAGGTGGTGCGATCGACAGGTGCGGAGAACGCCCTGTTTGTCAATTTGTAGCGCCGAGTGACAATATTTTTGCTGTCGGAATTGTGACAGAAACCTTTATCACTCTCCACTTTAATTGGTTTTCATGGGAGCAAAAGATAAAAAAAAGAGAAAAATAATAAGCATGAAGGAAACGGAATTTTATATTAAGAAGAGATATTTTTTAGAAATGATAGTGCAGATAATGAGGCTTTAAAAAAATTGTTTGTTTTATTAATATTTATCATAATATTATTTTAATTTTTTAATTTTAAAGACCATTAAACTTGATTGAAATTTGAAGAAAAATTATTAAGGAGAAAGAGTAAGTTTGGCGATAAACAAAATCTCGGCACTTAAGAATCAACAACGAATACTTTACACTTCAATAAATCAATTACACTTAAAAGAAAATTCAAAATTTATTTTAAATGAAGATGCAAATTAACTTTCTATAACTTTTGCATTATTTTAAATTTTTTTCACTTTACAAGCAGAAAAAGAAATACTTTCACTCTCAATCATGTCGCCAAATCATCTCCTGATTTATGGCCCATTAACAATGGACCACCGTTTATGATGGTGCAAATTGCGGCAGCCGTCTCTGATTTTTATATATATTTCTACATCCGCCCCTGGGTGTTGGTTCGTCCGTCCGTCCGTCCACCCACCATCGTCACTATGATAATAAAAAACAGACAAAGTCGTAACTCGCAACCGCCACTTTTTTATTGCAGCCCATTTCCGCGCGTTCATTACAGAAAAATGCATTAGCTGCGTTATTTGCTCCCAAAAGGTACACCTCGACCTGGGAATCGCTGCGGCCATCGGGTCACGCAGCGAACACGCAAACTGAGAACGTCTGTATCAGGAAAAAACTCACGCAAGGAGCAAGAAGTGGAATTTTTACAGAACGGCAGAGGGAAACGCCCTAAAAGCAAACTTCACTTCTTTGCTTCCGACGCCGGAAATTTTATATGCAAGGGTAAAGGGTTGGCAGTCTGATTCTTTTTGGCACAAAGTAACAAATTCGTATAACAGTTTTGAGCGATGAAATCAATTTCGTAATTGAAAATGTTTCTCATTTTTCCAATCTAAAATCAGTTTGAAGCTGGTTTGAGGCACTTCGTTCAAGTTTTTCTAATTCAAGGATTTTTTTTCTTTTCAATTTTTTTGCTTTTCTTTGCAACAAGTAATTTGAATATTTACAAACAGTTTTGATTTGAAAAACTTTTTGATTTAAAAATGCTTTAAAATTTTAAAGCTGGACTTACCGATCAGGTACAGGCCGATCCAGTCTTCAGAGGTGACGGTGGCGTCTCTGAGATTCCAGTGCAGCATGACCCTCTCGAGGCGGCCCGACTGCAGGAAGCGCCTGTCCACGCTGAGCCGGCGGCCGCCAGAGGATTCGTGTCCGCGGCCCTTGCGGCCAAAAGAGCCGCTTTGGAGCTTCTTGGGCCGCGGACACGTGCCGCTGGAGCTGCTGCCGGCCGAGGACAGCGCGGCCGCGCCACTGCAACACGCATCGCCGTTCAGCAGCGACACTGCAGACACGATTTCTGCAAATAATTTCAAGTTTAAATAAATTGCAGTTTTCAAAAATGTTGAGATATATAGCTCAGGAATAATTTTCTACAAAGAATTTATTTATTTTTCTCTTGAAGATTTTGTAAGAACTGATAACTTTAAATAAATTGAAACATGAATTTCTTTTTTAGATAGATCAAACTAATCTTTAATAAATTTGATGTTCCCTTCCCTTCTCTGCTGATGAAAACCATCTTAAAGTAAATATTTTTTTTTTTGTATCCAACAGCTAAAGCACAGAGAGTATTGATCTGTGGCGGCTCAGAGGCCTTTTACAAATTGGATAAACTGAGACGTGGTCTCGACTCCAATAGAATAAAAAACCAAGACATTCAAAAATAACTTTCTATGTCTTAAAATTGTTTGTTAGCGTTTGTGGTGTTTTTTCTGTTCTAATTAGTGAAGAGAATATCTTTGTTTGTGTTGTTAAGTGTAAAGCAGTTTCAGGGTTTAATTTTTAAGAGCTTTTCAAGTGGTTTTACTGAAAATATGCGAGGAAAACTTTGCTTTAAAGAATGAAATTTTACATACCAAAATTTTTACTTTTAACTAACAATAAGAAATTAATTTTAAACAACAACAAAAATTTTACCTTTCTGGGCGAAATTGCTCTGCCCTAATTTTACGGTTTTTAATTATGTTTCTTATTTTTATTTTTTACACAAAAAGGTACAATTTTTGCGACATTTAAAATTAATTTCTTAGTTAAAAGTAAAAATTTTGGTATTTAAAGTAAAGTTTTCCTTGCACAGTTTCAGTAAAACCACATAAGAGCCTCTTCAAAACTTCCTATTTAACGTTTTTCAAAAATTACTCTAAGCAGAAAAATAAGTTTCGCAACATTTTAAAATTAATCATCTTACCTTCGACGGATGTGATGCCGGCCACCCCATCTTCAAGGGCCGCTTGGACAGCAGCGGCGGCCCCGGGAGCAGCCAGCATGGGCCACCGGTGGTGTCCGGCCCCTGCCTTAGCTACGGCCCAGGGCCCCTCTCAGAAGAAACCTCCTGCGAACAGGACAAAAAAATGACAATTTTAATTTTTTTACTCAAAAATTTCTACAATACTACTTTTTTCGGTTTAGAAATGTGTACTCAAAAAGTTTGTCAGAAGTGGGATTTGAACCCACGCCCTCTTACGAGGACCAGAACGCCCACCCCATGGACCATGGGAAGCTTGCGCTTGAGTCTGGCGCCTTAGACCACTCGGCCATCCTGACGTTGGAATGAGATGGGCAGAAAATCAGTACTAACTCGAAAATTCACTTTTCTTCAATTCGATGCAAACTTTCTCTCTGAAAACTGGCCTAAGCGGTTGAGATTCAGGCCAAACATGCCAACAACAAAACAGAAAAGACAGAAATTTTTGTTATTTGTAGAAAGGCAAACAAATATTTTAATTTTAACAATTTTAGCTCGTTATTATATAAATTTCTCCGACGCTTTGTAACGAAACTAAACATGAGAATTTGAAGTGAAAGGTTCGAAAATGAGAGGGTTACCTTCTAACGCAGAGCTTGACACGGTGTCAAAGGTCTGCAAGGTCTTGTGCCCACCATGGTGACCAAAGGCGAGCACTTTTGCGCCTCTCCGATCATTTCTCGCCACTTTGACGGCTTCTCGTGTAGCTTCAGCACTTCAATGGGCACTTACGAGATGTCCGACAAAACATTGCGCTCCCCGCATCGGCGGGAAAACAAAAATTTCGCACTTTGATCTCGCGAATCACTCTCACTTCACAAAAACAAACACGATCCCTTTGGCAACTTCTCCGTCTTCGTATCGAATTTTCGAATGGGGCGCCACCTGTTATTTTGGCACCGAACCAACTCTGGCGACGCCCACGCGAGTCCAACTTGCGGCAAAACGTCCTAGTCCACTGCATGCATGAACGTTTTCCCCTTTTATCTTATCAATCGGCTTTAATTATATAACCATGGAAACCTACTGCTAAAAATTTACTTGTTTTACTACAGAACACATATTTTTATTTCATGCAATATAAAAATAAAAATTATTAAAAATTGTTTAGATTTTTTGGGATAAAGTTATTTGAAAATAGCACTGCGTACTAAAAAATCTATTTTATTATGTACCATATTTTGCTTTTCTTAAACTACACTAAGACCTTCATACTGGTCTTTCATTTTTTCCTTAATTTTCTGCATCAAGAATGCTACACGCTCGTGCTCCGCTAATGCTAGCCAATCTGTCTCCTTAACAACCAGAGTTTTGTAACCCAGTTTGTCTAGCGCCTTCAGTTTAAATTGCTCCCTGAATTTAAGGGTGTTGCCGTCATCAACGGAACTGTATGCAGCTTTTGGCATGTACAAGATCAAGAGCCTGCAAAAATTTCAACATAAAACATAACAGTATTATGCTTTTTTAATTTACTCACAATTCACTGTCTGCAGGTATTTCGTAGTTGTCCAAAAAAATTGCCTCTTTCTCTTTGTCCTCCGCTTTATTTTGGTTAAGTGCTACGGGAAAGCCACCTTTTCTGATAAGCACAGCATGATCTATAAATGGAAAGGTTTAGTTGCAAGGGCAAGTTACGAGCTTGGCTAAAAATACCAGCAATGAAGTTTAACTTTGTGATGACATTGTCAAGGATGTACCGAGAGCCACCAAACCCGATTTCCAAGTCTCCCTTCAAAGGAAATTTAGTTTCGTATTCTAATTTCAACTCGAGGATGCTCTTCAATAGCGCCTCGGATGGAAGAGGCCCGCAGTATTCTGGGAAGAACAATTTAACAGCCTGGTACAGCGCCTCGAGCTGAATGTGATCCAATCTACTTGCTGCTGCAGAAACGAATTTTTAGTTTTAACTCTTACAATTACTTATTAATACGTACATCCTGATGAAAACACTTCACTTAAGTAGTCCGCATCGAAGACATTCTGGATAACATGGTCGTCAAAAGCTCCAATTCTGGCCAAATCACAAGCGATGGTGATCCAATTGAAGTTAAATTTTGACTGTAAAATATAAATCTTATTGTTGCTTGGACGTCTTCTAAAAAAAACAAAAACCTCAGGCAAGTTGGCCAGAATTCCAAAGAGAATGGGCTGAACCTCATCCCATTTTTTAGGAGTGTATCCAGACGAGGAAATGTTGTTGATCAAGATTATAGGTGCAGACAACCAAACGTTCGACTTGAGCTCATCGGGGTGCAAAATCAACTCTTCGCAAATGTAGTCTATTAATTCGGCACTCCAATAACTCTGCAAAAAATTTTAATATATTTTGATTAATCCTTGAGACTGCAAAGTATTTACGTTTCATTTAACAGATGACTTACAGCTTTCGAGAGGTTCTTTGCAAAGCCAATGGACTTGTAGAGACCAAACTTTTCGGCAATAGCCCTTTGTACACATTCTTTGAAAAAATTAGCATGGTACATTTCAGGGTTTTTCTTCACTTGCGGCGCAAGATGACTCAAAAGCATCATAATATCATCAGTATAAAACTGGTCGAAGTTGTCCACAATATAGTCGAGGGCGTTTCTGCAGAGTTTACCCTTAAGAGGATGCTGGTAGGAAATTCGAGTGCACCCTCTGGCAACTTGGTATGCTTCTCGAGCGCCGTGGATGTCCAACTTTGAGGCAGTGGTGATCAAGTCATCAAACGCCTCATTAGAAACTTTGTATTTAGTTGCAAAATCCAAAGCCTCAGCTACGTGACTCATTTTCTCCCTCTCAAGTTTCAATTTCAAATTTGCCTCGAAGACCAGGGGTAGGGCGATTTCCATGCTTTTGATGTTGGAATCTTGTTGGGACCTGCGGCAGAGGGTGTGCAAGAAGATAATTTCGCTGATATTGAGATCGTTGACCTGCTTCTTCAGCAGGTGCAGAACCGACTGCACCATGATGCTGGTCGGAGGCACACCAAAGTAGATCAGGACCTTCAACGTTTCAATTTGATTGTTGACTGATAATAATCTTAGCCCTGATTTGACGCTCTTGCAAATTTTCTCGAATGTCTTGCTCACTACGATGTCTTCTTTGCTGAGCGACGAGCTAAAATTAATAAAAAAGGTATTGCATCATCCTTTAAACACAAACATGATTAAACTTACTGTTTGCCTCTGTGCAGTACAAAAAGATTTCTTAGAGCCATGTGAGCCACGTTCGGATTCAATCCGGCTTCATTTTTTTCAACGCTCTGCAGAAGGACGTCCGTGGAGGTTGCGGATTTCATTGATTGCATGAGTGCATCTTTCGGGTGAATATTTTCTTTCAATATGCTGAATTCCTCTTCACTTTTCTTAACTGGCAAATAACCTGCAAATTTTAAAGCCATTATTATTATTAAGAATAAATATTCGTTTTTGTACCTTCGGCGCTTGAAAAATTCCGGGCATTTGCAAAGGTTGATTCGTGAAATCTTCTACAGGCTGAAAGTCTGTAAACCGGTCCTGAAGAAGCAACTTTTGCCAGCTGAATCAAAGTCCTCTGAAACGCAGACATCATTTCTTCACAGAAATCAGCGAAAATGCAGTAATCTGATAAAATGTGCGACGATTTTCCTCTCCCCCGTTCGTTACTAGTGGAAGTTTAATTTATTTTTTAGCTCAAAACAATGGTTTTGCGTACACCATGCTTGACTGAAGTGGGCGTGGCCTGCATCTAGCGGCACAGAATAGAGACTTCGGATCGCGCGGGACTTTACTCGTAAAAAAGGTATTTTCTTGTAATACCTTTATTTTATTACCAAAGGATCCCGGAGATAGTGGGTTCGATTCCCACTCCAGGCGGATTTTTCTTGGGGGAACCTGAGTGACTTCTCATGCTGGGACTGTGAGTGAAGGGTTGTTCTTTGCTGAAGTCGGCCCGAGGCCGCAGGATTTTGTGTTGAGAAGGGTGCACTTTGCTCCCCGCAGTTGTACGCAAAAGCGTTTAATACAAAATCCCTTTTTTTTAATGATAGAAAAAAAGATTATAATATAATGGTTTTCACAAATTAAGTGTCAAATATATAATTATGCTTATGAATTTTCATTTTTAAATAGTTACAATAGTACAATGAACTTCAAAAAAATCTTTTCATTTTATTTATTTACAAAGTCACAGAATTAAATATATATCTGATTGTCTAAGCTCCTTCTGTTCATTACAATTTTTAAATGGGAGTAAAACTTGAATTTATTTGTACTCTTCAGCATGATGTGATATTGTGTTGGTTGTCTCCTGTTTAAAACTCATCGCAAATGTAACAAATGGTACTCATTGTCAGTGGCACTTCGTGGTAAATTTCCCAAAATTGAAGAATCAGTCAACATAGGCTGCATCCGAAATAAGTACAGCCTACACAGAAACAGAACAGTTACCTGAATGCATAACTATGATTGATAACTAAATAATTACCCCAGCAATGCTGCCATTTTGTCGGCAGAGTTGCACATTCAATATTGCCGACTTTAAGCCCTTAAAAAAGTCATTTACTGTCTGGAGAGTTATACTGCCTGCAAATTTATTCCGCATTAGATGCTTGGCTGCATTGCTGGTCAAGGAAGCTTCCAGGGTGTTAATTCCATCGCTCAGCAACACCTGATATTTTTAAAATACGTTAAATTTAATAAATTACTTAATCAAGTAAAATATTACCATACCCAAAGTGAAATATCAAAGTTTATTAACTTTCTGGGTAATGAGCATTTTGAGCACCACACAGGAGAAGTAGTCAATAAGTTCTGGGAAAAAAATAATACTGTTTTTAATCAATTTTAATAATTACTTGGTCTGTACCTTGCATGAAATGCAAAATATTTGTATTGTGTCAGGGAAAATTTTGATAATTGAAGCGAAAGGCAAAAAAGCGTCAAATTGTCCCCAAAAGGGCAAGCAGTTCTCGATTTCTCTCGCACTAGAGGGGAACAACTGCATACTGCTGATCTTCTTTGTTTCATAGGCCCAACTACTAAGTTCGTGGAATTTTTCCATCCAAAAGGGGTTGACCTTAAATTAAAAGTATTTATTAACATAGCATTTACATTAAAAGCATATATTATTTAGTACCACAATTTGAGTTAAATGTGTTGAGATCAGAACCTTTGCCTGTCGTTTTTTGGTGTTTTCATCTTTGCGTAAATTTGTTATCACAACGATAGAAGGCATCTGGAAGTTGCTGGCGCTTAAAATGCGTCTTTTCACCTTGACTCGAAGCTATAAAATACAACCTTTTATAGAGAGAACAGAAATGTTTTAAAATTTGATTTGAATATTTTACCGGTTTAAACTGGGATAGCTCTGGAGCAGACAAATACAAGATGGAATAATCATCAAAATTTACTTTGTTGCTGATAGGATTGTTTTCCACAAACCCAATTATATCTGAAAGTATTTTTAATTATCATTGAATTGCTCGTTCAAAATATTTGACAAAATCGATCCTCACCAACTAAATCGTCTCGTCCCCAGATAGGCGCATAAGCAATATTTAGAAGATTGAAACGCATCGATGGGATATTACTCGAGCTTCTGTCTGCTTGCACTTGGTCTGCCGTGACCAAGTGCGGCTTGTTATTATTATCAACATTCACCTCATATTCATGGTTGAAGAGCAAAACCTTTTGCAAATTAACTGCATCTTCCTTTTTGGCCGTGCGAAATCGGACTACTCCGTCAATTGCGTTGCAATTAAGACCAAATTGCAGATTTTCAAAGTTTTCACTCAATTTTTTTGGTACAAGGGCCTTCAGGACAAGTCTTCCATGAAATGTTCTTTTGAACACAGAGCCTGAAAACGAAATAATTGTTTTAATCGTTATAATAATATACAGTCCAAGACGTCCAAGTAATCCGAGTAAAACAGTCACAATTTCTATTATTTGTAATAAAAATATGTAATATAATTTGTAATTATTCATAGATTATCATATAAATAATTTTATTATTTACCTTCCGTGGCTCCTGGTTTATTGCACGTTGACATCCCAATTAGTGAAATTGTTTATTCGAGTTCCAGGCTTCAGGCTTCGCGTTTAACGTCCTTGTTTACATCGCCTTAAAGCCTTTTTATATTTTTTGAACCTTTGTTACCTTTGTTTTGTTTACTCTTGTTGTTGTTGTTGTTGTTGTTGATATTGATTATGGCTTTGGCAGGACCATTCAGCCAGATCTGTGTGTTGGGTGAATTTAATTACTTAATGTGGAAAATATTTTTGTAGAAGACATGCAGGGCATGATAAATTTCTTTGGTTTGAGTCAGAAGTATGTGATGAAGGAGAAGCGGCTGGCGACGAAGATGTGGAGGAAGCGAGGACAAAAAAATGAGACGTGAAGCTGAGTACAAAGGGCAAGAGAGGAGCAGGTGTTCAAGCGAAGCTGTTGGGAACGTGCAGGTGCATGCAGAAGAGACTCGAAGTTTCCAAGCAAAAAGCCTATCTGGGGTTAGAGCATGCTGAAATCGAACTCGGCTTAAGCTTGTATAAAAGCTTCTCGTACATGCAGGAAAAGACGAAAACCAGGGTTTTTTGGGAAGATTCCCTTCAGGACAAAGTTTTGCATAGTCTTTACCCTTGATCTGGTTTATAAGCCTCCATTCCAATTCCCATTGTTCTATAATATCATGCTTTATCAATCTGTTTAAATCTGTTACCGAGATATGGGTCTCTGACGAGAACACTGCTTTGCAACTGAGTTTGGCCAACTTATCTGCTACTTCATTCCCTCGTACGCCAATGTGAGAAGGAACCCAGAGCAGGGAAATCTGGTAGTCCTGGCTGCTTAGGTCCTGAAGCAGATTATGGATATCTGTAATCAAATAATTTTTACTTTTTGTGCACTTCAAGTTTGCAAGGGTTGAGAGGAGGCTAAATGAATCAGTAATAATCAGCGTTGGTCGTATATCTTGTTTGTTTTTTATGTATCGGAGAGCTTCAAGGAGCGCTGCAGCTTCGGCCGAAAAAATGGAGAGTGCACTAGGAAGTCTTTTGACGATACCAACATTTTCTTCTTTTACAAAAATTGCAGCTCCAGTTGTTCCATCTAATTTTTTTGAGGCATCAGTATAGATTTGCTGCTTTCCTTTTTGAGAGGTATTTGTTTACTCGAGACGGCGAGACTTAAGCCACGCCCCCTTTAGAGAGAGCAGTGGTGCCACTTTTTGCAAATGCTTTCATGTTGGCTGCACTGCATATTGGACTTTGCTTAAAATGAACATAAACATTGCACTTTTCTCTTTCAACTTGAATTTTGCCAGCATGTGTTATATAAGAGTAGACTGACCGCTGACCCTGAATTTCCAAATTTTCTGAGGGTTTCCGCCTCTTTGCCGACGAAAATACGCGCCCGTTCAAATTGTCCATTATTTAAGAGGCACCTCTCGATTTTCTTCAAAATTTTTAGTTAATTTTTAGTGATTTTATATCCATACATATTTTGTCACTTCGAAGCCTGGAAAATGTGCAGCACAGTTACTCCCGCGCAGAGAATTCTGGTAATTTGTTCATGTAAATAAATTATTTTTTAAACGAAAAATAATTTTTTTCAGGCGAAAGTTAGATCTCTAGTCCTGGTATCTGCCGGTGGATTCGGTGCTTTTTCCGCACTCAGCATTTACAACGAAAATGAGGACTTTTACGACAACATTTTTATGCCGTTGGTTAGGAAACTAGACCCGGAAACATCTCACAATTTGGCGATTGCTGCATGCAAGTACAAACTATTTCCAAAAAGCAGATTTGTCGACCCCTCTTCGCTGGTGAGCAACATTAATTTTTTTTTTTTAATCACTCTCCAATTTCATTATTTCCACACAGCAAACAAAGGTCTTGGGCATGGACTTTGAAAATCCTCTGGGAATAGCTGCAGGTTTTGATAAACAAGCGGAGGCAGCGCAAACTTTGAGAAATATAGGATTTGGATTTGTCGAGATTGGATCGGTCACTCCTCTCCCTCAAACGGGCCAGGAAAAACCTCGAGTTTTTAGACTGGAAGAAAGCGAAGCTTTGATAAACAGGTTGTGATTCCTAAAAAACTTTTAAATTATTTTTTCTAATGGACAAAAATCAGAATGGGGTTCAACAGCGATGGACACGAAGTCGTGCACCAGAGACTTGTTTATCTCCGAAATTCTGAAGCTGGCAAGAATTTTAAACTTGGGGTGAATCTTGGGAAAAATAAAACTTCAGACGATGCCCTCGCTGATTACAGCAAGGGAGTCGAACTTTTTAGTGATGTGGCCGACTATCTTGTTGTCAACGTTTCGAGGTACAAAAGATGATTTTTTAATATAATTATGATGATTTACTAAATTTAAATTTAGTCCGAACACTGCTGGCCTTAGAGACTTGCAAGAAGAAAAGCAACTGAAAAATCTTTTGTCCACATTAATACGGGTAAATCAATCAAATTTTACAAAATGAAATATATTTATAAATAAAAAATTTATTTTAAGGTGCGGAACAGCTTGCCTCCTGAAAAGAGAAAACCACTTCTTGTAAAAATTTCCCCAGACCTCACAGTGGATCAGCGAAAGCAAATTGCAGACGTAGTCACGGACAAATGGGTAACGGCAACGACTGCAATAAAAATTCCTTTTTTTTATTAAAATATGGAAATTCAGTGCAGGGTAGACGGCCTCATTTGCTCCAACACGACTACGGCCCGCCCTTCCGAATTGAAAGGACCGCACGTTGAGGAAGCCGGCGGCCTCAGCGGACGGCCGCTAAAAATGCCCTCTAATGAACTTATATCCGACATGTACAAACTCACCAAAGGCAAGTCCAACCATCACTTAACTGGATCATAGAGCAAGATTATGGATTTACATCCACCGCTATTATTAAAAAAAAAATTGATATTTGCAATGCAAATTGCTCAAAACCACTTGCCTACCCCCTCATTAAACCCTTTTGCTGACAAAGTGCTAAGTGAGTGCGGTTGTTCTGCTCCATTAGGCGCAATTCCCATAATTGGCGTGGGAGGAGTGAGCAGCGGACTTGACGCTTACAACAAGATCTTGTCAGGCGCCAGTCTCATCCAAATCTACACAACGTTTGCCTATCACGGTCCTCCGAGGGTGACAAGAATTAAGAGAGAATTAGACGAGCACCTAAAGTGAGATTATTTCTCTTTTGACGAGCGCAAAAAAATATAAGATGCTTTGTAATTTCAGAATGAACGGCTGGAAGAGTGTAGCAGAAGCAGTTGGAAAGGGAGTTTCGAGATAAAATATTATCACGTGGTGAGTTTTAAAGTTGGTGCATCTTGCTTTTTTTAAGTTTGCTTTATCGATCAAGAATCACTTCTTTTAACAACGTGAAAAACCTTTGACGGTCGCGCAATTATTTGGAAACGAAAAATATAAATGTATTTTAGATGAAATATTAAAATAAAGAAATTCAGGTGAGGAAATGTGAAATGAAATATTTTTAATATAACTTTTCATTTAATCACATGATTCACATGTGAGCTTCATTTTTTTTTAATAATACATAAAAGGAAATCTCACACTGAAGGACTTCTCATTAATTTAATCATGTTAAATCTGTATATAATTTGAGCTTCACTTGGGTTGTCCATTGAATTACCATTAATTATACCATAAGCAAATCAAGTCACGCCTGAATTATATAACCCCAATTCAAGCATATTGAACTCAAATTCATGGCCACCTGTATAAAAACCACGGTTTACTTGCACACTAAAATTTAAGTGTCTAAATCAAGTTTTGATTTGGAGGTTATTCTTATTCTGAAGCAGCTCCACATGTGCGCCTTGTTAATGTTGATAAGCACAATTTTATTTACAAACAGATGCTCTCAATCAGGTGAGCCCCTTTCTCGTCAATTAAATTCAAGTGTTTTTGGCGAAGGAAGGTTATTCCCAACCAAAGTTGCAGATTTATCAAAGCTCAAGATCGTGATCATTCCGGATTTACAAGTATGTTGATTGACCTCCAGGAGGCTAATAAAAATAATGAAGAGCGCTTTTGCAAAGTTTTGAGAAACTTTTCTAACATCAGATAAAAAGGCAGTTTGCTCTTTGCAGAATTAACTTGCGAACAAACCGCAACAATGAGCAGCCGCGTCGCTCCGACGAGAGCAAATTCCCTTGTGGAGTCACGCATCGAGCAAAAAGCCGTGGGCGGATCATTATCTTTTTTATCGCATCCACAGGAGGAGATCGACAAAGTAGAATTTTGAATGGCAGGGATCCGGAAAATTATATGGTCACTTAGAAGTTAGTGAAAGGTCCTTTGTCCTTTAAATTAAGCAGTGTTAACCAATAATTTAATTTGATACATAATTATATCATTCTAACAATACAGTAAATTTATACGTATACGCACGCAATATTTTTAAGACTTGCAACCTGAAATCTTTACAGTTACATTATAACAAAATGTATATAATTATGTTGTCACAGTATGTTTATCAAAGATGATGTGTGCCTTTTATTGGGAGATTATATTATATAAAATTAAAATTGGCTACCAGCATATAAAATGAAGCTGAAATTCCGAGGGTTTCATTATTTGGTGACATTTGGCGCTAAACAGGTAATTCTACTTCTGCTCAAAAACAAATTCACAAAATTAGCATGAAGATTTCTCCGAAGGCAATTTTTGGCGAAGGGTCGCAGCGAAATTAAATCTGACTATCTTTTTTAATTCGGCCGAGCGTTTCAATTAGACGGTGGAAGGCGTCCAATGGGTGAGCGCGGCCCTGAGCGGGCGCAGTTGCGCGCCGCAGACCCTTCAGTGAGCACCAACAGGTCGGCGCGCACAGTACCTGCCGGGCTGCTGCTCACTCGTGTCACTCGAACGCGTCCTTCTGTTGCGCGCCCCGACTGACGATCCAGACTTACTTCAAGTGTCTCCACTTTGGCTGTCAACACCAGCGTGCTCGGCTCTCAGGACCTGGAAAAAGGTACTGTTCTCGCCATGTTTTTTCAAATTAAAATCAATCAGTTTTTAAATTGAATGGTAACACTCAAGGTGGATTTCATGAAAAATTGATACCGGGCGAACCTCGTTGCAAAGAAAAAATGAAAAATTGGGGTCAGTTGTCCTTTATATTTTTTCATTTTTCTTTGCCCGGTTTCAATTATTCAATCAGTTTTTAAACAACAATTTTCTGGACAAAATTAAAAAGAAAAATCTTTGAATCTTTTGACACTCTTTTGCAGCTCTTATTTGATCGAGGGTGTGAGAAATAATTGCATAGTCAGAGCAGACCGAGACTTGCTAGCTTAACTAGATTTCCTATGGTAGTTTGGTATCATAATTATGTTTGCTTGCTCTGAAGTATCCTCATTGTACGTAAGTTGTTCGTTTTCAGTATGGTAATTATAAAAGTTTGTTACATTGCTTGAGGGCAAGAAACCAAGAACTTTCATAGTTCGAACAGTTCTAGAGAAACGCAGACGCAAATATTTACAATAAATTGTAGGAAGAGTAACTTTAAAAAAAAATAATAATAATTTTATTCGTGTCTCTTCGAGATAATTTTTGTATAAGTATAATGGGGGTTGCGTTTTTCAATATTATGATTAGCTCCTTGCATAAACTGAACATACTTGAATTTTAATTTCACATAAATGAAGATATTGCAAAAGTTTATCCTGCAATTAATAAAGCTTGCTGCGAGTTTTCATTAAATAAATACATCAGAATGAAAGAATAATGTCTCCAGGCAATTTTGCATAATTGTCCTGAACCGCGCCTTAATATACGTTATTCAATTATAAAAGACCTTAAATAAATCAAAAAAATTTATACGGAAAGTGCGGGCAGTATTGAAATAATACAAATTGCAAATTAAGTAAATTCTCATCAAAGGGCACTCGCTGCCCAAGGCAAATTACAGCTGCGGTCACTTCGGTCACGCCGAAATCTAACGCTTGAAACGGTTCGCCGAATTATTTATGAGAACTTTCGCGAAATAATTGCAGAAAGTGTATAAAATTGATGGCTATTCCGAAGGCTGCGAGCACAACACACGCCCAAACCAGCCTAATAAGACAATGAGAGTCTCTATGTTCCCATTGAAAAGTGATATATTATAAGATAGACCCGATCGTTCACTGCTGATAATTTTTCTAAGTAAAACGCAGCATTGCGGAATCTAAACACATGTTCATTTTTCTCGGCCAGCGCTATTTAAAAGTATTTTTAATTGAACTCCACAATCGCTGGAACGCTGAGCCGGCAACGTTTTCACTGAATTTATTTTTGGCGTGCGTTTTGCACGTCAATTCCAACTGAATGAATTCGACAAAAATACTCCATCAGCAAAATAAATTTTTCTCTCTCCAACGTAATTTCATCGTATTGACCGTTGGCTTTAATTGCAAGCGACAGCCCTAATTGGGGTAATTTTCACATTTGCCCATTGGACGTCTCTTTTATCTGCAGATAATTGTTTTCTGCTGAAAAAATAAATGGCCTGAAATTTGGCCACGAATGGAAGAGGTGTGTAAACTGTGTTGCGCTCGGAGCATCACCTGTGTTTGTCTGATTATTATTTTGTGGATCTCGCGCTAACACTGCAGGGCCCTTGCAAAACCAGTTTGATTTGCCTTTCGCAATTCGCCGCTTTTAAAAGTTAAATTTGCCACAAACACGCCGTTTCTGCGTTTATCTCGCAACCTATATCTCTCAAAACGAGATATAATTAGATACATATGGACTTCATAAAAAAAGCACGCCATGTCCAGTTCTAGCCATTATTTGCATAGCCGATCAGAAATGCGTGTAAACTCGTCTTATTAATAAGCGAAAACCTTTATCGCAGGTCACGCATGGATTAGGCTTGTTTTGTAAGCTGGTGCCTCGGGAGGATAACTGTATGCAATTAATCCGTCGGGCTTTGCTTTGATTTGGGGAAAGTTTGCTATATTATTGTATAACGAACAGACACGATCATCTCCAGGGCTGTGTAATCATCCAGTTTGAAAATCGACCAGCCATTTTTCGACTTCCGGTATGCAAAGTGAAAACAGTTTAATCAGAGTGATAATAATCAAAAATTAGTAAGAACCAAAACTGCCGTTAAATAAATCATTATTAAAAGTATTTCGAGCAAATATTAATTTTTGAAGAGCAACAAGATTTTGTTTTGTAGGGAAAGATTGATTAAAACAACAAGTAGGGAGGAATAATTTTTCCAAGCCAACCCCTCAGTAAGACTTTAAAAGCAGCTTTTAGAAATGAAAATCAAACTTTCCACCGCGGTGTTCTGCATCTTTTTTTTATTTCAACCAAAGTTTTGATTACATTTTACATTTTTTTTCTCGCCTTCGCGGTGCGCCGTCAAGTAACGAATATTAACGGTTGAGTTTGCTTTTCTTCGCTTTTCTTATTTTAATTCCTTCTGCCTTTTTATTTGGCGGAAAGCAAAAATTGCATAACCACTTTAAACGTTTTCTTGTTTGCGGACAGAGACGTCTGCTGCATTATTCAAGTGCATCTCAATCTCCGATTGTTGCAATCTGTCACGTACGTTTCTGCGCGCAGCCCGAGGGGGATGGTTTGCGGAATGGAGGAATATTTAATTTGTCACTGCTTGGAATAATGTACCCGAGGGATGGCATGTGAGATCAAACAAAAAGGAAAGAAAGCGTAAAATGTAGAGAAGTTTGCTTTGCAAAACTCTCGATTTTATAAGAAGTTTTTTCTTTAATAAGCGAGAGAGAAGAAAAACTAGCTTCTTCAAATTTGAAATGAAAGCGGTAGAATGCAATTTATTTAGAAAGACAGAAAGAGTTCATCTTCCACCGACTCTCAGCAAACATTCATTTATTTTTGCTCATTTTACGTTCAAGCTTTCAACTCATGAGAATTGGCACTTCATCCCACAATTCAATCGGCAAAACTGGAATTTGCTACTTAAGTTTTTCGGATTAAAAATTCCAGCGATTGTCATCCGCAGTAATTAAGAAAGTTATAAAAATGCTTCCTTAGACTTAACCTTGCGACTTTTTAGACTCGCATGCTATTGTATGGAAAAGGCAAGTGGCTGGCGCTTCCACGTGTTTATCGCCGAGACGGCGAAAAGTAGCGCTCTTCTCTCACACACGACTTACAAAAAAGCTTAAAGGAAGTGAATTTTTAGTGTGGAGGCCACTGCTGCATTTCCAGTCCGATAAGCAAACACTCTCGTGAACGCCCCCACATTATTTGACAGCTAAAAGCGCTTTCCTTCTCCAAAGTTCAAGTGATAACAAATTGCTGACATTCAGCAGGTCCTTCTGTTCAGAATTTACACAAGCTTTAATTTAGACCTCTTCATATGTCTGCAGACGAGGAGCAAAAGAAACTGATTCGAATGTGAAATTTGTTCAATAGACTGCCTTCCACCATAACTAATGCCGTCTCGCGGCGTTTTTGTCTCCGAGCGTGCCAATTATTGGCGAATTGCGCAAGCTTTGAAAATCAGCACCGCAATTGAAACTGCAGAGGGGATTAAATAGCGCAACATTTGCTCCGCAATAACTAACATAAAAGCACACCTTGATTAACTCAAACCGCGGCTCATTCGCAATACAAATTTCAGTGTGATTCAAGTTTCTACGCAGTTGCCTTATTTTGAAATTATTTTGGTCCTCTTTCTCTCTTAATTGCTTGCTTCATACTTCTTAAGAAGCCTTTATAAATTGAGGAGCAAATTTTTTTCTTTAAATAATTAAAAATGGGCAATTTTTTTAATCATGTGGAATCTAAAGAATAAAAATTGTGTGAAATTCTTTAAACTTGATTAAATTATATCTCTAAGCTTTTTCTTTTATTTTTATTTTTAACTTATTTTTTTATTTTGGTATTGAAATTTTAAAAAAAACTCATTTGTTCTCGATGGCAATCACGCCTAATAATGGAAAATTTCATTCAATTTTGATTAGATTGACTGCATTAGATCCAATCTTAACAATTTGTTAATGTTAATTATTAATAAATTATTTTTAATCAAATATAGACAGTTATTTTCCTCTTTCAATTTATTAAATTATACTTTTAATCAGTTACGCTGCGCATGTTTATTATTATATTACTGAAAAATAACTGGAAGCACGTCAGTTGCGAAATAGCGTTGTGCATTTTCCGGTTCTCAAATGTAGGCTTTCGGCCGTTTCCATGGTTCCAGTCGTGTGCAACTTTTCCCAGCAGATCCGTGTTTTGTGCGACGACCATTTTTCCATAGAGTTTGATGATGTTCAATAGCATAAGCCGGATGCGCTCGGCGCCCAACTATGGGATCTGAAATTTCATCAAGGTCCCACCTGTTGTGGTGCGCCTAGTTTTTCCGCTCCGTGCTCCATTTTCTAGCCAGCAGCTGCGGCTCGCGTTTTTCCACAATTGTCATCCGCGTTTTCGCTTCGCATGATTTCATTTTTGTAACTGAAATCATGATCTGAATGTTTATCCGTACGAAAAATTGCAATTTCGCTACACTGCACTGCATTTTCTGTCCAATCGATTATAACTTTTCTATAAAATACATGGCCATGAAATACATTTTGTTCAATTCAACCCTCTCCTGCGCATTATTATTATTATTTTTTTTTATTGAAACTTGCAAATCGTTGGCATTTTCACGTATCAAAGGGCAAAATATTTCCAGGTGGAAAACCTTCGCGAGCAACACAACGCAGCAGGAAATAAATTTTGCAGATTTATTGCTTTCAGCAACTTTTTTTCTACTTGAGTGAATCTGGTTGAAAACGAAACAAACTCAGAAATCACTTACTATAATTTAAAGGCTGATTGATTAAGACTTACAAAGTAAACCTCGTCTTTTTTAATATTAATTATAAGGAACAACTCTTAAATTAAACGTATAACATGTAAATTCAAAACACTTTTGAAATTAAAATCAGGTGAAAGCTCTTTTTTCTGTCTATAATTTTCCTATAATGAAAATGAAGGTGTATT